TGAGCCTAACAGCAGAGCTGTGAAGTAGGCAGGGTGGTATTTATCACCGCGTTACATGGCTCAGGAAGCAGGTGCAGACAGGCAGCATTACAGTGTCATCCTGAGATTGCTGTTTCCTTCCCCTCCCTGAGCGTCCGTTTCCTCATCTTTAGACTAAGACTGGAGGACTGGATGGGCTCTAAGGATGTCTTCAGTGTATGAGGCCATCCAGCCAGTGTATGATCCATACGAAACTATGCTAGTGTGAGGGGTGCCTCTCCCTCCGGATAGCTTCCCTTTAGGAGGCGCATGGGTGGTGGTAGCAGGCGGGAATTACCGACGCGCTGTCTAGATTCTGCAGGTGACTCCGTGGCTTCCTTACGGGGAGTGGCCCCGCCGTATCCAACATGGCAGCTCCTATCTGGCGGATCGCCGACGCCCACTTCCGGGTTCCGTACCGCTGGCCAGGCTACTTCCGGCAGCGCGATGGCTGGGTTCCCGGGACTCGAACGGAAGTTCCGGCGGGGGCGGCCGAGGGGGAAGAGTGTGTGTCTGTGCAGGAGAAAGAGGAGAATCGCCCGAGAGGTCTCGAAACCCCCAGGGAGTAGAGGTACCCTCGTCCGGGGCCAGCCGGCGGAGGGAGGGTACGGGCGGGGGGCGGGGGGAGGAGAGACCGGACCTCCGCGGGGGTCCCGGCGAGTGGGGGGGGGACCGCAGTTGTGAGGGATGGGGGTGGGGAGTCAGGGGCGAAGAGGCGCTGGCCGGTCTTGGGGACTTTGGGGGTAGAGTGGGGCAAGAAGGCGTCCGGCTGTGATTGGAGGGACTTAGGGTCGGAAGTGGAAGATCCCATGGTGGGGCTGGGGCTCCCCGGGGTCAAAAGTAGAACGCCCCTTTGTGGGCGGGAGAGAGGGTCCTGGCTCAGGGTAGAAAATGTCACAGTAGGGAGGGGGCGACCCTTGGTCAGGACAGACGTTCCTAGTGTGGAGAGTGGGAGACCCTGGGTTAGGGTGGAAGTAGTTACTCTGAGGAGCTTCCTTCCCTTGTCGGGGGGGCGGGGGGAGGCATCACTTTGAGAGGGAGATCCTGGGGTGAGAGGTGGAAGTCTCCCAGCCAGGAAGGAAGGGAATCCCAGCTTAGGGCGGAAGATGCATCCCCGTGTGGGAAGAGGGACCCCGAGGTCAGAGGCGAGGGATCCCACGTGGAGTGGTGCACTCAGGGTCAGAGATGGAAGGTTGAAGCAGGTGGGGAGGGTGCTGGGGGGTGGGCACCACTCTGAAGGGTAGGCGCTTAGGGGCAGGTAGCTTCTGGGGACTTGGGAGGATGCGAAGGATGGGGAGGAGCCAACCAGCCTCACATTCTTTTGTGTGTTCGGGAGTCCCAGAGCATGGTCAAACTGGGGGACCTGGTTGGATTCGGTGGGCGCTAGCGGCAGCAGGGAGCACCATTCAGTGGGGCGTGGGGCGCCAGTTACAGGGTGGGTAGTGGGCCGCAGTCTGTGTGCCTTCTGGGGACATGGGCAGCCCCTGGGGGCTCTGGGAATGGCTGAGCCAGAAACTGCTTGTGAAGGCGGGGTGGGGGTTGGAGAAAATGTGCATGTGGGGGGGTTGGGGGTAGGGGCTAAAAGCATATCTTTCTGGCATTTTTCTCCCCTTCATTTCCCAGTAGGGCTGGGAGTTGGGGAGGAGGGAACCCGGGGCTCTATTAGAGGCATGATGATTGGAGAGCAGGGAGGAGGCAGTTAGCGGGGGGACGACAGCAGGGGATGCCCTGGCTCCCCTCCCCCACAGCCCCTAAGCCTTCTCTCTGCCCTTCTGGGTCTCCAGCAAGCTCAGGCCGGAACCAGGGACACTAGGGTGGCTTCCTCTGCTTTTCAGCCCTGGAATGGAGGCAAACTTCCTCCCTGCTCTGGCCCGAGACTTCTTGCCTGCCTTTTCTTGGTGCCCAGGACAGAACCAGGGTGTTATGGGGCGCTGACATTCTGAGAGGGCCCTCGGTTTGAGGCTCTTCTCCTGTGTCAGGAGTCTCTCCCCTGCCTGGTCTTGCTCGTGACCACTCCCCCGAATTTGCACAGGCCCCAGCCGTGGAGCCTGCAGTGTATGTGTGGTAACACCATGTCTGTGCCCCTGCTCACCGATGCTGCCACTGTGTCTGGAGCTGAGCGGGAAACGGCCGCGGTAAGGGTCCTCCCCTGCCCTCAGCAGCCCCCGGCCCAGCCCCTGGCCCAGCTGGGGAAACTGGCTGGAAGGGGTGTGGGGGAGAATGGAGGTGGCACAGTTGAGAAGGGAGCAACCTGAAGCCAGGCGGCAACGGGTTAATAGCCTGTTTGGCTGCTGCAACGGTTCCCCCCCCCCCAGGTCCTTGGGGGCGCAGGGGGATGGCCCAAAGTTGGAGGACTGAGGAGGAATGAGAGCAGGGTGGTGGTGACTGCCCTCTTCCCACGTCCCCATGTCTGACCCTTTTTCAGGTTATTTTTTTACATGGACTTGGAGACACAGGGTGAGTGAGTTGGAGAGGGAGGAGGTACTTCCTTGGGAAGGTGGGGAAGGGCCCGGGGGCAGGATTAGGGGGCTTGCGCCCTCCCTCTCCTCTTCCCCACATGGGTGCTGGTTTTCCCTTCCTTCCTATAGGCACAGCTGGGCTGACGCCCTCTCCACCATCCGGCTCCCTCACGTCAAGTACATCTGTCCCCATGCGTGAGTGTCACCCCAGCAAGGGAGGGGCTGAGGTTGGGGATCCGCTGGGGGGTGGTCCTGTGGTCTCGGGCCTGTTCTCTCCTGTCAGCTGCATCCTGCGGCCTGAGCCCAGGGCAGTTGGAGGTGCCATTTTCAGCCTTCACTCTGGTGGAGCTCGCAGCCCCAGCCCCCAGCCCTAGGCCCTCCTAGACCAGGGATCCCCTAGAACCAGGAGATCCTGTGCCCCTTCCCCCAAGTACTCACCCACTAAGCTGGAACCCCGTCACACCGAGTGTCGGGCTCTGCTTCTCTGCTGGTGCCCCAACCACAGCCTCCAGCCCCACGTGGCAGGTTGCCTGGCAACACCTTAAACACAGGCCTTGCCTGCTGGGAGGGGCCCCCCAGGGGCTACTCTGCCCCCTCCTGGCTCTCTGCTGTGGCTTCCTCATCCCTTCTGCGCATGATGGCCCTTCTCGCTGCCCCTCCCTAGACCCCGGATCCCTGTGACACTCAACATGAAGATGGTGATGCCCTCCTGGTGAGTTGGCGGGGGGGGGGGGGGGGCGTGGGGGAAGGATGGGAGCTGAGAGAGCTGCAGGGGCCTGGCCAGAGTCTTCCAGGAGCCAACACCTCTCCTCCCCCAGGTTTGACCTGATGGGGCTGAGTCCAGATGCCCCAGAGGACGAGGCTGGCATCAAGAAGGCAGCGGAGAACAGTAAGGCCCCAGCCCCTCCTCAGCATCTGCCTTCCTCCCCCTCCATCCCCCGCCGCCAGCGAAAGCGTTGGGCAGTACCTGGCTCCCTTCCCTGGGCCCCCCAGCAGCTTTTCCCCTACCCAGTCATGTCCCCTCCCCCCAGTCAAGGCCTTGATTGAGCACGAGATGAAGAACGGGATCCCTGCCAATCGAATCGTCCTGGGAGGCTTTTCACAGGTGAGGGGGGAGAGGGGGTGGGGGCTGGTAGGTGAGCTGTGCCCTCATGACGCTCATTCTCTCCTCCCTCTAGGGTGGGGCTCTGTCCCTCTACACGGCCCTTACCTGTCCCCACCCTCTGGCTGGCATTGTGGCATTGAGCTGTTGGCTGCCTCTGCACCGGGCCTTCCCCCAGGTGAGTGTCTCCACGACCCCACTCCTGCCGTTTGAGTCTCCTTGTGGCTTGGGGCTTGTGCCGAAGCATCGGCTTTGCCCTGGAGGTCTTTTCTGGCCCACAGGCAGCCAATGGCAGTGCCAAGGACCTGGCCATCCTTCAGTGCCATGGGGAGCTGGACCCCATGGTTCCAGTACGGTTTGGGGCCCTGACGGCTGAGAAGCTCCGGTCCGTTGTCACACCCGCCAGGGTCCAGTTCAAGACTTACCCAGGGGTCATGCACAGCTCCTGTCCTCAGGTCAGTGATGAGGGGCCCCGTCCTACTCCCAGCCCTCTCCCTCCTCCCTCCTCCCTCCAACTTGGAGCCTCTCACAATCCCTCCTCACCCCCAGGAGATGGCAGCTGTGAAGGAGTTCCTTGAGAAGCTGCTGCCTCCTGTCTGACCGGAGGCAACGGCCCCCAGCGCAGTCCCCCAGCTCGTGGGGGTCCAGCACGTGCGGCACCATCTTGGATCTGAGCCGGTCGAGCCCCTGTCCCCACCATCCCTGACCTGCCCTCTTCCCATAGGCCTCTGGGGCAGGCAGGCCGAGGCCTGGCTGTCTGCAGCAGGGGCAGGCCGCCCACTTCCCCCGTGGCCCTGGAGGCGGCCCCCCTGGCAGCAGTATTGGACGGGCTGTAGGCAGCGGGAGAAAGGGGCCCAGCCGCTGACCCACTCACTCAGGACCTCACTCACTAGCCCCGCTTTGGGCCCCCTCCTGTGACCTCAGGGTTTGGCCCCACCTACCACTCCACCCCCAAGTGATTCTGCCCAGATAATCGTGGGTCTCTCCTCCTTCCCTCCAGCTGCTTCTCAATCATGAATGTGTCCGTGGCCCTGGGCCCCCGTGCTGCTGTGGGCTACCTGCCCCTGGGCAGGGGTGTTGGTGAGGGGGGCAGAGTCCTTCGAAGGGGGCCTTCCCTTAGCCTCCCCAACGTGGGGGCTGGGCCCTGCCTCCCTCTTACCCTGCTCCCCTGCAGGCCTGGAGCCTGCAGGGCTGGACTGAGGCTCAAGGTCTCCCCCAGCTGTCCCACCCCCACGTTGTCCCCACTCTAGGGCCAGGGGAGAGGTGGGGGAGGAGTTGTGTCTTGTCTTCTGTCTCCATGTGGTTTTGGGTGTTTTTCTTGTTGTGTCCTGGATTCCGATAAAATTAAATTGCTTCAACTCTCAGGCTGGATGATTCTATCCAAGGGGTAGAGTGATCGCGTGCAAGAATCTGCCCCAGTGTTAGAAAACTTTTATTTTAAATACTTCGTAAAACGCTTCAGAGCAGTATAAATTAGTGCCTGTCTCGGGACCCTTGCTCCCCCCTTCACTTCTGGTGGTCCTGATGGCTTCCTGGACGCTGTTGCAGAGAAGAGTTAGGGATACCCCCAACTCCTGGTCAGGGGAGCCCTTGGCTTCATGCCTGGTGGGCTGAGAAGGCCCAGCTTGGGTTTGAGGTAGGGGAGGCTGAGGCCCCTGGGTTCCCCCCAGAGGCTGGAGAGAGCAGCCAGCTTCTCTTTCCTTTTCTGGTGTGTGGTAGGGGAGGGTCTCAGGCCTGCACACCGAAGCCCGCAGGATTCTGCTTCTGCCAGCGCCACAGATCTTCACCTGCGATGGGGGGAGGGGTGGAGCGAGGGTCCACATCGGAATGCGGGGCCGCCACCATCTCGGGCAGCCCCGGGTGGGCGTGCCCAGACCCCGTCCCAGGGATCAAGCCAGCACCCAGGGTCAGGGGTGGGGGCGCAAACTCACACATCCTGTCCAGCCCTAAGGCCGCTGTCCAGCCCAGCTCCTTGAGGGCCAGGCTGGGGTTGGCGTAACAGGCCGCCACGTCGCCTTCCCGCCGTGCCACCACCTTGTACGGGATCTGCGAGAGACGAAGCAGCCGGAGCTTAGCTGAGCTGGCCCTGGCCTCGCCCACCCGGCTGCCGACCGGGCTCAGAAACGCAGCTGCAGGCAGCCAGCACTAAGGCGGGCGGAGCAGCCGGGCAGTGCCGGCCCGTCAGGGAGGCTAGTGGGAGGGGCCCAGGCCGCCTCGGAAGTCGGGGCAGGGGGTCGACGCGGGGCTGGGCTGCAGCCGGCCTACCTTCTGCCCAGAAGCCTTCTCCATGGCCCGGACCATCTGCAGCACCGAGTAACCCGTGCCCGTGCCCAGGTTGTAGATCTGTCCACGAGAGGAGAGCAGGTGGTGGGGCGGGTTGGACTAACTACCCCCTCTGGAGCCCCGTCTCCCTCGCCAGCCTCGCTTCTCCCTTCTCTCCCTACCCGACAGCCACACTGCTCCTTCAGCTTCCTCAAGGCTGCGATGTGGCCCTTGGCCAGATCCACGACGTGGATATAATCCCGGACACCTGGGGAGGTGGTTGGGTGTGGGGGGTGTTCAGGACCGTGCCTGTGGGACCTCACTCTCCCCCTGGCTCCTGGATCCTCCTGGTCCTGGGCTCACCTGTGCCATCCTCCGTGTCATAGTCGTTGCCGAAGACACTGAGTACCTCCCGTCGCCCGATCGCCACCTGGGGTGGAGGTCAGGTCAGCTCTTCCCAGGCCCTTGGCACCAGCTGTACCCTGACCTTCCCCTTCTCCCTTACCTGGGAGACGTAGGGCATGAGGTTGTTGGGGATGCCCTGGGGATCCTCGCCGATGCAGCCCGAGGCGTGGGCGCCTATGGGGTTGAAGTACCGCAGCAGCACCGCGTTCCAGGCCTGCGGGACACGGGTCAGGGGAGTGGGGTGAGGGTGCGGGCTGTGCCCGGGCGGAATCCAGAGCTCTTTACCCGCACCCCCGCCCCCCAGCCACGCCTGATCGCTCTATCCCTGGAAAGTCCACCCACCCAGTGCTGTGACGTGGGGCAAGTCACTGCCGCTTCCAGAGTCCTCGCTTCCTCCTGGATGGGTGGTGCTCGGGATCCCACCCTCAGGTTCATGGGAGGCCTTGCGGGCTGCGTCAAGGGGGGCCCTCACCTTGTCTGCCTGGCACAGGTCCCGGATCATTTCCTCGATGAAGAACTTGGACTTGCCGTAGGGGTTGGTACAGCCACCTGTGGGGTGGGCCTCATCCAGGGGCAGGTATTGTGGGTTCCCGTACACGGTGGCTGAGCTGCTGAACACTAGGTTCTTCACCCCGTGGGCCCTCATGATCTGGCCACGGAGGGGAGGCGTCAGTGGCCTCTGCCTCCCACGTATTCTCACCCCCTTCCTCCTTCACAGGTGAGAGGGGCTGAGGTTTGGGCACTCCTGTTTACAGATGGGGAGACTGAGGCAGAGAGGTGGGGAGACGTAGAGGGACGTGTGTCTAAAATGGTACAGCTTGGGCCCCGCCTGACTCTCCCCTCCAGGCTCTCATCCACTGTGCCTGGCACGGCCCGCCTGGCTGGGATCTCCTGGTGTCTGGGACCTTGCCGCTCAGCTCACCTCCAGCAGCTGGATGCTTCCGGTCAGGTTAACTCTGTAATAATCCAGAGGCTTCTGCACGGACTCTCCCACGGCCTTGAGGCCCGCAAAGTGGATGACTGCCGTAAAGCTGTGCTGCAGGGGCGAAGCCAGGGTCAGAGGTCACTGTACAGGCCGGCCCTCGGCGGTGCCCCCTGCCTGCCTGCCTAGCACCTACCTTCTTTTTTTTTTTTTAAAGATTTTATTTATTTGACAGAGACACAGCGAGAGAGGGAACACAAGCAGGGGGAGTGAGAGAGGGAGAAGCAGGGTTCCCGCCGAGCAGGGAGCCCGATGTGGGGCTCGATCCCAGGACCCTGGGACCATGACCTGAGCCGAAGGCAGACGCTTAACGACTGAGCCACCCAGGCGCCCCTAGCACCTACCTTCTTAAAGAGACGCTGCAGGGCTGCCTGGTCCAAGATGTCCATCTCCTCAAACTCCACAGAGCGGCCTGTCAGCTCCTGAACCCGCTGCAGGCTCTCGGGCATGGAGCCCCTTCCTGGTTGAGCACAGGGAGCCCATCAAAAGAGGACATGGGTCCTGGGCTCCCAAGGGACGAGACAGACAGACACACACACACAGGCACACACCCCCCATGCTCACCACGGACGGCATTGTGGAAGTTGTCCACGACCACGGGCAGATAGCCGGCCTCCAGCAGCTCCAGCACCGTGTGACTGCCGATGTAGCCAGCCCCGCCGGTCACCAGCACCTTCTCTGCCATTGTACCTGGCCCAGAACACAGGGCGTCAGAGGGGGCTGAGAGTGGCCGCTCAGGGCCTCCGGCTCACGTCGGAGGCAGTACCGTGTCCTAGTGAACAGGGTGGCCCTGGAATCAGCCCCGCTGCACGTCTGGAGACCACCTCTTTGTGGCCATAGGCCTTGGAGATCACTTCTCCTCTCCTGGCCTCACTTTCCATCCAGTAAGTTGGAGCTTGTAATTGTACTGGAGCTTGTAATTGTACAAACGTCATGTGGTAGTGTGAGAGTTAAACGAGGGGACTTGAAAGGCCCTGCCACACCGCACCGGTGGGGAGACTGATGTGCAGGCACCACAATCTCTAGTCCCAATTTACCTGGGACTGAAGAGGAAACCTAAAACCTCCCAGGTGTCTGGGGACTAAGCAGTCCTGGCCAGAAGGAAACAGGGCAGCAGCCCCGGGACTCCCAAGAGCCCAGGAAGAGGTTCTGTCTGCTCAAATTCAGGCCTTTCCAATCCCTCTGCTATCACTGGGTGTAAACTGGCCAGTGATTAACACCTCCTGCTCTGGGTAGCTCCCGTCAGCTGGGAGGAAGCAGGAAACACACCAAATGGCCCCAGGGTGGGGTGCTTTGCCAGGCAGGCTGAGCCCAGCTCTGGAGCTGCAGCACCAACGTCCTGGAGTGGGCCCCACCCCACCCCGGGTCAGTCCGGCTGGCCCAGCCTCTACCAATGCATGCCAGGGCCAGCTGGGTCGCCGCCCAACTTCAGGCGGCACGGAGCCGGGCGGTGTAGACGTGGCCCTGGTCCCGACTCCACTGCCAGGTGTGCACCTCCGCCCTGAACAAACCCTGCGGGCAGAGTGGGGGGCGGGGGAGGAGGCTCCAGACACTCAGGTCTTTCATTCGGTGCGGCCTGGCCCGCAGCCACCTTCCTCCTGGCTGCCTCAATCCCCTCTCCCGGCTTACCACTCCCACCCACTTGGCTGAGCGCTTGCTGCGTGCCAGGCTCTGTACCGGGCACTTCTGCATTATTTTCCTGGATTCCCCCAACATCCCGATGAGCCAAGTGTTATGGCTGGCACTTTACCGAGAACGATACTAAGGTCAGAGAGATTAAGTAATTTGCCTGAGGACACACCGCTGTGACAGCCCGGCTAGAATCCGGATCTCCAGGCTCACAGCCCGCTAACCTCGCACCAAGCAGTTCACCCTTCCCCCTCACCACCGCCTCCAGCTGGACTTCGCTCCGGACCCCGAGGCCGCCCCCACCCTCACCCCGCCGTGCGGAAGCCCGAAAAGTGGTCGCGGATGGGCCCCAGGAGGCAGGAAGCCTGGTGAAGCCAGCCTCGCCCCGGACCGACGGGGTGACCTCGGTCGGCTGTCGCCGCCTCGGTCTTCCCAGTCTGCAAAATGGAGGGGAGGAGGCGGTGAGCGGCGGGCTGGGATTTGGGCCGTGGCTCCGAAGGGGCCGAGCTCGGAGTCTCCGGGTCGGGAATGAATGAACCCGGGCCGCCCCAGCCAAGGCGGCGGGAGCTGAGAGCTGCAGGAGCCCGTCCTAGCGGGACTCTGCCCAGGACGCGGCCCGGACCCCTGAAGCCCTCCCTCGCTCTCCGCAGACCACGCAGCCCCTCGCGAGCCCGCCAGGCCCCCACCCATTCGCCTCGCCAACCTGCTCCAGACCGCGCTCCCCGCGCTGCCTCCAGCGGCGCCGCCTCCCGCCTCCCGCGCCCCGCGTCCGGGTCACTTTAAGAGCCGACGTCCCACCTGGTTCCGCCCCCTCCACGCCCCCAAGGAAACGTGTCGCCGGGGAGCGCGCTACGGGGCGCCGCGAGGACCAAAGGCGCTGTGGCACCAAGGCGCCTGCGCGGCGTGGCGGGGGCGGGGCTGGGGCTGGGAGCCGGGAGGCGAGCGGCGCGCCCGGGAGCTGTCTCCCGGCGGGAGCCGCAGGCCGAGGGCGGGGCGGACGAGCCCGGTGCCGCGCTCCCCGCGGCCTCTCCAGCCTTTCGGCACCCGCCGAGCCCCGCAGGAAATCAGCGACGGCGAGCAGCAGAGGCAGTCCGGGGGCGGCGCTGACCGAAGGAAGCTGGTTCTGGGAGGTCTGGTTTGCAACCCCCCCGCCCCCGAGAGCCGGGGAAGCTGAGGCCCAGGGAGAGATCGCGCGACTGACTGCGCTCAGCCCCCACGCGAACCGCCGGGGGTGGTCGGTCGGTCCGGACTCCGCCTACCAGAGTCGGCTAGAAAATGCTCTGGTGCTCCTGTTTAAAGGGAAGGTGGGGCAGAGTCATGGCATCCTGAGCGATGAGCCAAAGTGCGTGCCCAGCCCGGAGGGCCGTGGGCCCGGAGTCCTGCAGGGACGACTGACGGGCGGACTCCCTGCCCACAGAGCCAGGAGCCGCAGCAACCGGGCTGTCCTGGCCAGGTCTGAGCCGGCCCAAAGCCACTGGTTTGCAGTCATTAAGAATTCGGGAATCAGGGGGCGCCTGGGTGGCTCAGTCCTTAAGCGTCTGCCTTCGGTTCAGGTCATGATCCCAGGGTCCTGGGATCCAGTCCCACATCAGGCTCTCTGCTCATTGGGGACCTGCTTCTCCCTCTCCTGCTCCCCCTGCTTGTGTTCCCTCTCTCGCTGTGTCTCTATCAAATAAATAAGATCTTAAAAAAAAAAAAAATTCGGGAATCAGGTGGGGAAACGGAGGAGATCAGAGATGCATAGGCTAGTTCCAAGTCTACACGTTCCTCTCAGAATGCCATGCTGTAAAGATGTTTTATTCCCCACCAGTCTCCCCCATTCATACACACACAGCTGCACGATACTGGCACGTGCTTTTATGTCATTAAACCTTTAATTACATAAGCTGTGTTCAAAAATCATGTTCAGAGGGCACATTTTCCAAAGACGCTGCAGGCGGCAGGTGGTCACCAAGACAGCTCAGCCGTCACCCCTTCCAAATGCCCTTGCCAGCTTGGGGAAAAACTCCAGGCCGCTTTGCTCTGTGGAGTCAGCGACGGCCCCGGAGCCACAGCAGGTCAGGCTGTGTAGCTAGCTGACGGATTTCATCCAGAGATGGGGCCTGAGCACCAGGGAACTGGGTTCCAAGGGGGACCCCAGGCATTCAGCTCCTGGGCCGGTGGGTCCATAGGGCAGGGAGACCCGCAGCCCCCCAGGCTTCTCACTCAGACTAGGGTCCGGCAGGGAGGGCCTGAGGCCAAGCAGCTCCTGTCCCTTGCCTCCCTTTTGCAGGAGACCTATGTGTGGACCTGCCAGGGAGGTGCCCACTCCTGTTAATTTCATTCCCATTTCCATGTGCCCTTTCCCCAAATCATTCACGTGAGCCCCTATTCCCACTGAGTCCCCCAAAGGGGCTTACAGTTTACAGGTAGCCTGAGCCACTTTGGAGCTGGTTTTTCTGTTCAGGGCTTGGCAGATAAAGGTCCCAGCTTCCAGGAGCTTCTGGAGGTTCACACCCTTTGAGAAACAAGTTAGAGGATGCACTAGGTCATGACATGCCTGCAACACCCAGGGAGACATCGGACTGGACAGAAAACCGATACTAAGAGAGTAAAGGTGAAGACCTTCTCGTTCCTCTTGTGCTAGGACAGCACCTGCCTGCAAGGCTGCAGCCTTCTGCCATCTGGGGTTACCCTGGGGGCTCCCCTTGTATAAGATGCCTCCGTCTGTGGAATGGTTTCTACTGCTGCCACCACGGCAGGGATCTCGTCATTCTCGTTCAGTCCACATCTCCAGCGCCCAGCACAGGGCCTGGCCTGCAGCAGTCAAAAAGTGCAGACTGAAGTAATAAAGACTGCCAGGCAGAGTGAGCCGGGAGGGAAACACCACCCGAGAGGGCCACCCTGAAAACCTGTTCGTGGCAGGAGCTCACGTGTACTGATGCGTACTGTGTGCTCAGCTCTGGGCTGGGCACTCTCCATTTTCCTACCTAGTCCTCATCACAGCCCCACAAAGGGGAGCTGTCAGCATTCCCGTTTCTTAGGCCCAGGGAGGTGAAGTCGTTTGTCAGGTCACACAGCCTGTGAGTGGCAGGACTAGGTTTTAAACCAAGATCCATCTGGTCCCAAAGCTCAGACGAGATACTGCTTCCAAGCCACCACTGAGGGTCCTCACTAACAGAGCCCTGGGGATGGCTGTCTCCTTCTCCTGCCCTCATTTTACAGGGAGCAGTACAGGTCCAGAGGGAACTGGCTCAGGTCATGGATGTGGCCCTTTCCCTACTCCTTGGTGCCTCCTCTGCTACCTCTTAACTGTCCTCCCTTTCACCAAAAAACCCCTAAACAAAACCATCAGCTTCTGTCCTCAGGCTTCAAGGAGGGTTCTAGTCAGTTCAGGGCTGTCGCCAGCAGGGGGCAGGTGCGCTTACCGTGTGAATGCCCAAGCCAGACAGCATGTAGACAAGGTCCTCAGTGGCCAAGTTTCCGGATGCCCCCTGTGCATAGGGACAGCCTCCAAGTCCTGCCACAGAAGAGTCCACGACACTCACTCCCATCTGGAAACACAAGGATGGGGAAACATGGGTGTCACTGTGGGGACCAGAGCCTACAAAGCCAGGAGGTCTTTGCAAACCTCCCAATCAACTGCTGCCTGAAATTCCACTGAGAGTTACTCTTTCCTTTGGCTAAGGATTCTGTCAATGTTTCTCTTTTTAGTTCCTGGGAACAGTGTGAATCTTTTTTGTGGACAGTTTCTTTGCCAGGGGTATCTTCCCCCGTTCCTTTCACACTCAACTCCTCACCCTGAAAGGTCTCCCCAGGCGCTTCCTGGCCACAAACCTAAAGGAAGTACCTCCCACAGTTGAGATTTCAGGCCCCTGTTGTTTACTGCTATTCATTTACCCACTTCCCACCACCCCAGCCTAAGGCTGCTCTCACTTCAAGTTGGGCCTCTAACCCCAGGGGGCCTATCCCATTTCCCTGGGTCAGCACCGCCCACTCTCCTAATGACTGTTTCCCTTTCTCTTCTCCCCTCAAACCTCCCACAGACCTTAACCTGGACAGCTACAACAGAGAAAACAGACCCAGCTTACAGAATCATGTGGCTTAGAGACCTGAGCCTCTAGGAGATAACTTAAGACCCCAAAACAAACAAAAAACCCCACAAGAACAAAGGCAGCCCAGGATTGCTTTAGCAAACCTAAAGACAACAGGCCAGACTTCAACCAACGCGACAGCAAGGTCAGACACAAGACGCAGACACACCTGTGGTCAGACACTCAGAACTTTCTAAGGGGTGGCCAGTCCACAAGGAGCAAACCTCAAGGGAAACCCAATCTGAACGCTCAGTTCAGTCTTGGGGGAACAGCAGGTAAGACCCCCCTGGAGTGACCTCTGCTGGCCTCTCCGAGCACCCCCCTTGCCCGCTCCCTACGCGCATGCGCAGTCACACTACTCCCTGGGCCCCCCGGTGTGTGTTCTCCCCAAACCCCACCTCAGCCTTATAGCGCAGGGCTGCCTAGTCAGCTTCCCGTTCCCTCTTCCAGCTGCTTAACTTCCTCACATCCTCCAGGCCTCATTCAGGTCTCTTCTGGCATATCCTCTCGGACCTCCCCAGCTGGGATGGAGGCCTTCCTCAGCCCCGTGCTTCCTCCCTGCAGGTGATCTGTCACACGCACTGGGACTACCACAAAACTCCCCTGACTATCCCCCACACACACCCTTACAGGCCAGGGTCACGTGTCTGTGTCCTCTGTGGCCACCCCAGGGCCTGGCACACAGGTATCCGTGAATCCTCACTGAAAGAAGGCGGGAACCTAGCTGTCCTGCCACCGTGTCCTTTTGGAGAATGCACACGTGCCTTCCTCCTCGGACCTGCCCCGATTACCTGCAGGGCCATCAAGGTGTTGGCCAGGGCCTGGCCGTAGGTGTCATGGCAGTGGACAGCCAGGGCAGCCACGGGCACCTCGTGCATGACAGCCGACAGCATGTCCTTCATGATCCCAGGGGTGCCCACACCGATGGTGTCCCCCAGGGAGATCTCGTAGCAGCCCATCGAGTACATCTTCTTGGTGACCTGGGGAAGCAAGCAAGCAAGCACTTGGAGGACACCAGGTTCCTCAAGCCAGGGGCCCAACACCTCAGAAGCAGGGGTCCCGGGCCTGTGCCGAACATCTCCCTGTCGGAAACGCTACGTTCCTGTCCGATCATCGGCTCCTTACAACTTTCTAGTGGGAATGACGATCCCCACTCTACTCACCAGGAAGCGGAGACGTAAGGGAACAGAGCTGGCCCCTGGAGCAACCCTGGGCTGCAACCCCGAGCTTTCCTCCCACCCTTTCCTGCCCCTGTGCCCCCGACTTCAGGCCTTCACGTGCCACCTCCACACACCGGGGCAGAGCCAACGACTGGAATCAATAAAATGGATTCCTCTCACGTGACTTTGCCCTCAGTAAGATCTACAATCTCATGGGTCTGAGGGGCTAGTTACGTATTTTTAATAGAAGTACCTAACTGTTTGAACTTTGAGAAGCTCATCTGCAAATCCCTAAAGTCACTGAGAAGCCAGGGCAGCGTGTGCCCCACTTGAGATGCTGCCCCACACTGCGCTGCCAGACGGCGGGCGTGTGACAGGGCCAGGGACGCAGGTGACACTCTCAGAGGCCTGCCAGGCAGATGGACCGGCGAGGCCCCCACCGCCCAGGCGGCACACTGAGGACAGCCGGCGGGGGGGGGGGGGGGGACAGACGCAGCAAAGGAGTGGGCTCTGGAGTGACACACATTGGGTCACCATCCCAGTTCGGCTGCTCCCAGGCTGGGGGGCCCTGGCAAAGGGCTGATCTTTGCGGAGCTTCCACCTCCCCTTCCGAGAAGCAGTGGTGGGACTTGGCGGGGCGGCTGCGGGGCGGGCGGCTGGGACAGGAGCACCACCACCGTCAGCAGCGTGCTCTCCT